TCACGTGACTTCTTGTGCGACGAGAAATGATGAAAAATAATATGCTCCTTAATAGCATTTGTTCCTATAATGACTTGTCAGGTAAAACCGTGACAGATGGGCGAGATAAGGGACAACGAGCAAGAACAAACACCGAACTCAATGCTTGGGCGGCACCCTGTCTTCTCCTCCTGAGATAAGGCTCGCTCGTTCTGATTTCATGAAAAACCTAACGACACAAATAAATAACGAGACACTATACAGGCATGAAAGCGGCTATAGAAACCCTAGCACTTAGTACTTGAGAACAAGTTATCGATCGCTACCGAGACAAATAGTATAATGGCTGCTTAAGCATCTGCTTTTCAAGTCAGTCGTGCATAGAAAAGAATAGTCATGATACTGTCGTGATGATGATCTTGTGGCTATGAACGTGCGCAGTGCAAGGTGAACGTGAAGTGTTAGACAGCTGTTTGGCGGAACGTCTACGGAATGATTTGCGTAGATATACCATATGCGCGGGCGTCAGGCCCGGCATCCTTCGTCTACATGCTTTGTCAGCAGATATATCATTAGGACTTCGAGGCCACATGCTCACAGATGCGAAGTCCATTTCCTCTGCTTGGTCATCGATCAAGGACCCGCCTGATTCAACAGTCGGTAACGTTGGCCTGCCCACTTTGAACTCGATAGGAGCCGTATGCGACAATCCGTCGCTAGAATTTGTTGCAGTTTTACTCACGGACTGTCGGCTGTTCAACCTGAATACAGAGGTCTTAGCAAATGGCACATACGATCTCTTCAGGCAGCACTCACGTCGCAAGAAGAGTATTTGTGTAGGCTACGAGGAAGAGCTATGAGGTTTACGCTCTTCGGAAACATGAAAAACGCACCTTTTGATACAATGATGTTGAAGACCTCAAATGCAAGGGATTTAGGTGCGACCAGGTACTATCAAGGTTGCACGTCAAACAGGCACATATGACTGATGTTGATGACGCTGCTCACCGCAATGAGATCTCCAATGCTGACGATGCTGGAAATGTACTGTCAATCCAACATGTCAATGCGAATATGCGCTATACTCACGTAGGGAGCAGGCCAGTGTTGATCGTATATACGGTCAGCCTCTGAATGATCTTATCGGTCCTGGAAGAACAGCATTCAGCATCTCTGCTTTACGCCCTTCGCATATCACGTGCTCACCGAGCGAAGCCAGTACGACTCCTGAATAGTTGCAAGCAAATCGTGCAGGCGATTATAAGGTCAAGGGCTGATGTTGTGGTGTCCGCGGTGATCGCGACCCACTGTTGGAGGCTTGTATAAGTTGTTACTGGAGAACCCGCCCTTGTCGCACGCACCCTCAGGCCAGTTATACTCGTCCACAGGCGCGGCCCTCCAGTAATTCTACGACCGGTATAAGTCAACTATGGCATGTCAGGTCGAATTCAGTCAACTCACGATTTCAGAGATGCAACTAAATTTCGAGCAATCAGGAACAGATCAGAATATTCAAAGAGTCTCACCCACGGAAAGCCAGCGCTAAAAAACTTGCATTCAGCCTTATCACAGTGAATAGCTATTTTGGGGGCACTCACAAAGAGGTAACAGCGAGAACGCCGCCTAGCAAGACTGTCAGTGTCAAGCCCGAATGTATACTACCGCTCCAATACTTACGAGAAAGACTGCATAGATGACCAAGCGCCTGTTCACTGTACTGCGGTGAGTCCATGTCCACAATCTAGAGACGCAATAACTTACGCATCCATATGCGGTAGATCAGAAACCTGCACATAGGTCTCAACACTGGCATGCTCAATCTGATGACTAACTCACTCGTGAACGATGAAGGCTATGATACCCTGCGAAAAAGTGAACATTAGCCATTCATAATGGGTTTTTGAGACACACAGAGACGATGGGCTCGGCCTTGAGGCTACATCAACAATCATCGGCTGCCGACATCGACAAAGGAGACGTACAGCAATTCCCCTGTGATCCAGTTCATGAGACGACATGATCAAATAAAACGATACCGCACATACTCACCATTCCATGTACATAAGCGCAAGTGGATCCAGGAAATCCGTGATCAAGTATTTGTACAGGCCGTATGCAACCATCGCCAACGAGAGCGAGTCGAGAAACCTGTACCGAAAGATCATGATTCGTCGGGTTATCGGCTGTGATACTTGAAAACATACCAAAGCAAGGCCACCTGCGAGCGGTGAGAACAGTCAGGTCTGAAAATATTACAGTAGATTCAACATACCAGGAGTTTGAGTATAACCTTGTCGTTTGGATAGGTCGTATACTTCAAGTCATGGAGTGACTACATCAGTACCAACGTAACAAGCTGCATGTCATCGAAAACCATACATAGAAGATCGTCTGCAATGTCGTTATTCCATGAAACCTAGAACGTCGACATGTCAATGAATTTCTGCGAAGTTCTTTTGGGGAACAAGGCTTACACCGCGCCCAACAGGAGACCAACAAACACGGCGCCCATCGTGGGGTTGAGATCAATGAGAGCCATGGCAGCTACCGAAGTGAGAGAGGTCAGGCCTCAGGACTTAGGGACAGAAATGCACGCATCAGCACCGTCTCCTCTCATATACTCTCCGAACCATTCAGTCTCTCCAATGGCAAATGGGCCAATACGCATCTCGCACTTGATCAATCACAGTATAGATGGCTCAGTAATCAGTAGCCGCACGCCATGGCTCATGTCAGGACAACGTAGACGGAAAATGAGCAAACAGCCCGACAGTATCACCGAGGAATTGGCGAGGATCAACGCACGAGTTGATCAATACAGCACCGGTGACTCAATGGCCGCACAATGCGCACATCCAGGCTCGTACCAGAACAACGTAGCCAGAAAATGAGCAAATAGCCTGGCAGTATCACCGACGATCAATGCACGAGCTGATATCTAGGCATGAGCGTTCGTGGCTCAAACACGTATGACCACCCCCCAAGACTTCGCTTAATCATCATTATTGTTGATATAACCATGCAAGGTTTGCTTCCATGCCGATGAATGCGACGTTTGCAATTATGAGACATGGTTTGATTCCTAGGCGAGATACAGGTAGGTTTCAGCCTGCATCAGCGGACATTAGGTGAGAAGAAGCTTGATTGACTTACTGCACTACATGCTCAGGACAAATATTTGAAACGCCTTTCGCGCGCTACGCATGCACCGCTTGGTCCTGCTTCTTCTCACGTCATCGCTGGGTTCCGCAGCACCACTTATGAGACTGACTATCAATCTGCATCGCATCCCAGGCACGCACCTCCTACGGAAGATCTATCCCAAGGTCTACAGTATATCCTCCGTCGTTTCTCACAGCTCCTTCGGTAACTCGGGGCCCTCAGCCCACCGGCTTGGTTTGCACACCATTCCCGAGGAGATAACGTGCACACCATGGAAGATGCTCAATTCAGCATGTACCGCTGGCCCTATAGAGTACAACAGCAAATGCCGAGCATAGCTGCCTTTTTCCAGATGCTCATAAAACGCATTGGTAATGAAGCTGTAGATGGGGAAAAAGATGGGCCCGACGGAGTGTGCGTACTTCTGCACTCCTTCTGGGAAAGGTTGTGGGGTTCAAATGTGGACGTAGCATATGCGACCGGGAAAGGAGAAGACATACTCACCTGTATTGACGACGCCTGGGTGAATGGCCATCACGATGATTGGAACGCCCTCTGCATTGAGTCTTCTGTGCAATTCCTTTACGAACACGATTTCTGTCAGTTTGGTTAGTGCTGCAGCATCCTCATCAGTACGAACATGCAAATACATGCATTTTCAGATGCACAGTATCGCTGGTATTGAGCAAGCGAGTAATCTTTGTACTTAACATTGAAGTCCTCGGCATTGCGGAGGTGCACGTCATTTGGAGCGTTGAAGTGCTCCTTTGAGGAGGGCTATAGATATGTAATGTTAGCCAATCAATTAGCAATGTGTTCGTGCCACCCACATGAACAATGCGAACATCACTATTCCGCTCTCCTGCTGTCCGTTTAAGTGTCGGAAGCACAGCTCGCATGAAGAGGAAAGGGCTCAGATAACTGCAATGAATCATAAGGCCCGTTGACTGTTTCGCCAGCGCCCACAATGTGACGCTCGATTGAGCATAACCACATCTTGAATCCCTGTTACACCATCAACGGGTGATGATTGAATTGCACCACATGCCAGCGAAACTCACCATCGGACGTCTTGGCGTAGGATACAGCAATCTGTCGCGGGTCCCAAATTGAGCGAAATGTATCTCTTGTGTCTATACGCTCACAAGGCAGCACAATTCACTGACTTATCATCATTTACACGGATGAGCAAAGAGCACGGTACTGCAAGTAGAATGCCCGTACCCACGGCGTCTAGTTTGTTCTTTTTCTCCATGAGCGACTCCGCTGCTTTCTTCGCAAGCTTGGGGTCGCTGAAGTCGGTATGTAGCCATAATCATATTATTTGCCCGCGACTTGCGTTCCTTCAGTGACAACGATAACTTTGTCTCAGGTCGGGGAGATCATCCGGAGTGAAGCGTCTGAGAAAAAATGATCCCATGGTGGCAGCGAAGGGGGGGGGGAAGAGACGGGTATGAGGGAGCCCTTCTTCGTCAAACTAGGTTGACGTTCCCTCAGGGTGACGGTCACGAGCCTCGAGGACCCCGAACCACCAACACCAGTATGTACCGCTTCGTAAGTTCGGCGGACGCTTGCGAGGAAGAGAGGATGTAATAAGTATATGAAAACCTTGTGTGGGGGAGAGGATTCAGCAGCCGGCTGCCTGTGCCCGTGGGTTGGGCAGCCACGCGGATAATCGGTGCTCGGGGTCCTAGTTGGAGGTGTCTAAGGTCCTAACTTCGGGTTGGCCAGCTCCTGATTCGCTGGCCTGCGATCCGGGGCTCCGAGCGTGAATTGAATGAGCCGAATACCTCGAGAGTAAGGCGGCGGAGTAGCTGGCTAACGAGGGGTGGTACGACTACACCACCACTAAATGCTATGTAGCTTAGTATTAAGTTCTGCCTTGTATATGACAATGAACTTTCAACACTCAGATCAAACGACCCTCCCATGAAAAAAATTGTTAAAACTTTGTTATCGATTTCATGCTCTTTTAAGGATGGCATGCCGATGCGTGAATTACTTATGTCTGGAGGCCCGTAGACATCGTGTTCAGCCACAGCCGCGTCGTACATCATCACGTGGCCGCGTATTGTGCGATTCAGTGGGTGCGCGCTTGTTCGACCGCTACCACCACCGCTGTTGCTCTCTCTAGCAGTGTTCTGATATTCAGGGCATAGCATTCGCAGCAACACCCTCTCTAAGGCATTTATACTATGGAGAACCCACACGCTGAACGACAGAATATCCTCCTTCAGCGCATCATCAAGAATGCCGTACGTTTCCCCGTTTCTTGTCGGGGTCGGCTGCGTAGTCTTCATTGACATAAAATCTAGGATAAATGCACAGAAACAATCATTGAGTTGAATCATTGTCTGGAGGAGATTATCCGCGCAAACTCGCAGGTGAAGACAGCAGCAGATTTGGTGACGAAATATCGGAAGAATGTGCAATACAACTTGGAGGCGATGAAAGGCTCAGAAGATGCGAAGTAGCTGTGTGTCGACCAGGAGGGACACGAGGGATTTATGTTGTTACCGAGCTGTGAGTTGGTCGCATGTCATATTCTTGGTCCCGGAGTTGACACAACTTTTCCAAGCACCAATCGTCAACTTCAGACTGCATGAATTACTGAATATGCTGTACATTTTGTACTGTAGCCGTATAATGTAGACGTTATGGAAGCATCGCTCTTCTCAACGACAAGTACTGATGACTGCTATGTGAAATGGCGGTTTTGTTGTCCTTCCTGAGTCCTCACTCGATAGTCCATTTGCTTGTATATATAGTGGAGGTGCCAAATCTGACGTGACTTCATGCATTTCCAGCTTCACAAGTACAGCACTACATCTGTCATACGCTGCGCACCGATGGCCCACAAGTTCAAACTGATACCATGGTGGTTGCGTTGAGCTAACTGGCGGCAAGGCGAGCGAAATTTCAACGCCACTGTCGGAAAGTTAGACGCCACTGTCGTGCCAGCGCTCAGCGCGAGTGAGTGGCCGGATCAAAATCTTTTCATCGAGCTCCTATGTCCGCCGTCACTCGTTGCTTTGGTCGCCTCAGACGTCGGCGTCATGACTTGTGCCGTTTTGTGTCTGCAGCGTTATATCTGGGAAGCTGAGGCGGCGTGCTGTACCAGAAGGGAATCTCAAGTGCTTGCGCGATTAACCCTGCCGCAGAGGTCGTTTCGTCGTGGTTGGGCCTCTGGGTTTGTGCCTTGGGTTAGAATCGGCGATTCACTAGTGACCAACATGCTCAGACTGCTTCAGTTCTCCACGTTGCAATCGTACTTCTCGGCTGCCAGCGCTTCGTGCGTATCTTGCAACCGATCTCCTCCCGCCTTCCTCAGTTCGAATAGTTCGTGCGATTTGTAAAGCTGGGTAAAGAAGGCATGGGGGCATTAGGAATTATGACATGTAGAAGAAAGAAACGTACCTGCAGCTCCCTGTTTGCATCCTTGCCGACCTGTGGCTGAGGCGCGAAACGCTTCGGATGGCAAGGGGAGCTCCCACTACCATTGTCGAGGTATGCGGGATTCTGCAAACTAATGCGGATGAACATCTGGATGTACTCTGATGTCTGTTAAATTTCTAGGAAGCCAAACTTTGTGAGTAATGGAGCAAAGAAGGAGCAGTATACCTTTTTATTGATCCGAATCGTAGTTTTGTTCAACAGTGTCGCACTAACTGCATCTCTAAAACTGACACCCTCGCAAAGGTCCTACAGCTGGTTTCATAGGCTCCATGCCATATTGAGGTCCTCTTTTTCATTCCATCAATCAAGTCCGCGCTTGGGACCGTGGTCTCCGGGAATGGCTTCCAGCGTGAAGATGGCTAGATGGACAAGAGGACGCGTCAATCCATTGCCTTCTGCTACACCGTTCGGGCGTGAATGACATCTCATCAACCTTTGGAATATGCTTACAGATAGCTGGGAGCTTGTGATTGCGAGGCTAGACACAGTTACAAGAGGCCGCACATACTCGACCGAACTGCAAGGTATTCGTGAGCATGCAGCATAGAGCGATACCCCAGTCGAGTCCAGTCGACTTACTGTTCTCTACCAGGTCGCTACGTGCGCTCACGCGGTGCTTCACATACCTCAATTCACGACACTCACATTGTGCCTAAATGGCGCATTTTTGCGCAAGTGATCCGGTTACCCGGAAATCGGTATGCCCACCCGTCATGTAGTGCAGATTTAAAGGTCCCCAAGATTAAAAAACCACTTTCGTGGCCTCAGTCTTCCCCGTCTTCGCACGCCTTCGGAGAATAATTGAAGCCCCGACGTTCAGGCTGAAGCTGACTGCTCCACGAAGTACCTGGAATGTTGGTCGCATATAGCAGAGCTGAAAGGATAATGGCGGCTGATCTATGTGCGACAGATCAGATCCTTCTAGGGATGGCATGTGGCCACTCGACCTATGGTTATTGTTCCTTCGAAAGCGAAGAACACCGAACATAAGAAGGTGTATCCTACTCTTTCACTCGTAGATCGGATCGGCGAAGGATATGAGAGATGCAGCAAAGGCTGTTGGTGCTCAAGGGCGAAAGAAAATGCGCAAAATGCGAAACATGCATTCTGAACTAAGTTAATCCAAGCATCTACGCCCCTGTGGCGAGTGGTATGACCACAGAAATCAAGGGCTATAACACGCTAAGTAATTGTCTGTGTAACTCACTCGAGTGAATTGTACCTGAACCTGCCTGACATTACAGTTATAGCTCCTAGCAACTTCGACCGCGACGTGTCGCATTGCGCATACATCATTTCCTCGCCTCACGGGCAACGGGCGCCAGTCCCATAAAGTGTACCTGGACTGGAAGAATTTGTGCGCATGTTGTTTTCTATCATTTTTCTATCTTCAAGGCTGCATAGCCGAATGGGGCTTCCTTATACATGTACGTGTGTTGGGGTTCACTTGCACACCACGAACTGCCGTCATTTGTCCTCAATGTCATCCGTCCTCCATTTATTATTATAAGACTCTGAGCCAGCCGCACCAGCCATGCACCCTCTGCCTTTCTTCCCCGGTCACGAGACGCCTCACAGCGAGGCAATTCACTGCTTTCTTGGTCCTGCGGCGGATCGTAGTGCAGAGCGGCGCAAGGAACACAACCGGTTATAACGGAAGCTTGATACAACTCACCGATAAACTGCTGTATGCCGTCGATGTCCGAAGAAGTGCCATCCGTCGCTGGCGTGTGCTCGTCAACGCGTTGGTGGTCGCCAACGTGTGCCATTTGCAGTGGATACACAATCCGAACTCAAATCCCGGCACCGACGTCATGGATCGAAAGGCCACATTCATCCATCAAAGCCATACGTCTGCCCAGGACCTTCTACGGAGAGCATCGCAAGCCAGGGATCTGAGACGTCGAACAATTCCTGTGACGAATCACAAAGTGGCTTGGTGTTTCCGGCCTTCCCGAGCGCTCCCATACCTTTCGTGAAGTCAGGGTCTTCGACGTCAAATATGGCTCCGCCCATCAACTGACACGGTCGCTCTTTCTTCGCATCTTCAGTATGGGGAAGTTTCTCAAAGTCTCTCTGATCGTCGCCCGTGGATTCTTCGGTTGTGGCGTAGGATCGGCTTTCGAAATTCTGCTGGCAAAACAGATTGTCATTATGGTTATAGGGTACGCAACGTGTGCTTACCCATTTCCTCGTAAAGGCCATATTGTCGGCCATCCTCTTCAACTCCGCATTCTGCTGATTCTCCGAGTCTGGGCACCTTTCATCTACCAGTGGCACTGCTAGTCTCGACGGAGCTGCTGACTTGGATGATGACTTTGTGCCATCTACGTAAGTAAATAAACCCAATGATGCCTAATGTCAGCTTACAGTTCGGTTGCAGTCCTCAAGACGGGGCTGATCGCAGTGAATGCTGCAGCTATGCGCTGTACTGTCTGAGGAAAGTACAGAGCCTGATGGGCCTACTGGTACTGGTCGTGAACGCCGGATTGGGATACTTTGTGGCCCGTCGTATCCGAACTGGAGCGATTAATGGTAAGCACAGAGATTATGACGAACGTAACGATTCGCTGACTTACAGACTGAATTTCGTGGGTCGTCTTAACTTCTGCGCTTGCAGCCTTTGTAGCCGTGAGAGTTCTCAATGAGCTTGTCCTACTTGCACGGTCTTTTCGCACTGGCTTGGCTTTTAGCTCGATGATAAGCAAGATTCTGCGTTTAACGGCTGCTCCAGCCTTCTTCAAAAAGGAAAAGCCCATCTATAGGCCGTCTCTGGAGATGAAATGTCACGCTGCCATAGTAATATCAGTATGTGATTCTGTAGCTGAATGTACTCGCGGGTATACTGACATAGATTTGGCATGAAATGAGTACGGAAGACCGAGTGGCGTACTGAGCGGGTCATGATCAAGTGCGGCATCCCAGAAAGGGATCGCTTATATCTGGGCGCTAACAGTCTTAATGGGCGATTCCAAAGCAATCGCAATCTGCCTGAACCCAACGGGCCGGAAAATGGCTTCGAACTCCATGACTCATCTTAGCATGCATAATCTGCCGCTCACCAGTGCAGGGTGCCGTCGCTAGATACCATGTGTGACGTTCACGTCTGGTCTTCATCCGACGTCTCCGCTGCTCTTCAGCTACAGCGCACTTGCTCTGCGTCGTCGACCGCTTATCAGCAATAGCGTGTCCAAGTGTACCATTCTATACCTTCGCATTCCATCGCCTCGAAAATGATGGGCTGATCCCCTAGCTCGAACCCACCGCATTGTCATCGCTAATGAACACATCTAGCGAAACAACCATTTACCATGCAGAATCATACTTGATCTAATCTGGATACCACTTCGGTTTCTAACTACCCTCGATGCCTCTGGTGGATGGTCCGGAATGCAATTTCTCTTCGTTTCTTCGTAGAAATCGTTCATCATAACGCTGGGCTACCGTGAGTGTCGTGGCATATATCCGCACAAAATACAGCAACGCGTTCCAAACTGCATAAGAAAAGGAAGAGAGCATATCGATATGGCATAGTGCGTAAGTCCTCTCGTTCAACTTGGAGATAGAAAGCATAGCTAAAAATTACTCTCTTTTTGTCGTGTTTTTGGTGGTGAAGAAGGAGGTGGCTAGTCTTTTTTCTTGCGGTGTTCATGATGGTGAAAGGAAGTCATACGTGTGAACATGAGGCCACGGCTCGAATGGTCGCCTACCATCCTCTTGACCTGTCGGAGTCCAGCTTCTTGTCAGTACGTGTGCTATGGCTCATCGCACTTGCTGGCACGCGGAAGAAAGACTCTGCGCCTCGTCCTCCGCGGCTACGGAATGTTCGACGATATCCTGAAGACACACGATATGGTGTATGCCTCCGTTGCTTAGAGAACGATTGGCTACGATGCCTCCCTTCTGATTTCCTCGCTTTCGCTTCACTGCGGTTCGTGCGCTGCATATCGGAGGAGGCTTCTACTGCGGTCGGTAACTGCTCCAAATCCTCATCGACGAATGTGTCACACTCCGAGTGGTCAAGGTGGCTCCCTAATGGCTGCTCTTGTGATAAATCGGAGTCTTCGGCGTCTGAGTGGGAATCGTGTGTGTAATCCTCTGTGTTCGCTTGGCAACTCGCACATGAGCAGGGCTGACATTTTCATGCTCTGTGAGCCGCTGTTCTCGCCTACTATCTATCACGATGAACACTCACCGGTTGCTGGGCGTCTTCAAGCCCAGTCGATTTGTCAAGCAGATTCGGAGCATACTTGTATTTCCAGTCATGCAGTTCGACTGGCAGTCGTGGGCTCCTCAGGCGTGCTATGGGAGCCACTGAATCAGGTTCTGTCCGAAAATGACATGCTTCCTCGACGCATCGTTCGATCTAAACAAGGCTGTCAGTATGTCTTTAGTGTGGGGCGATAGGTCCGTCGCTCACAATCCAATTTGCGGCCTCCCTGTCATGTTCGTGGTCAGGTTCACTATCGTGTCTCCATGACGTTCCTTGGCGGATGAAGGAATCCGTTCGTGGATAATGATACGTCTGTGACGAGAACTGTGGTGAGTTACTAGATTGGCATTCACATTTCTTGCGCACTCACGGGGCCGTGATTCTCGTTCCACCATCCTTGGGTATTCGCGGGCGTGCAGTGCCGCGATGAGCAGCACGATTCTCGTTGTTGCTCATACCAACTACGCGGAAGGTCAGGATGCGGCATGACTATCATCTTAACAAAAGGAATCTTCTTCTTGATAGCGGCACGGGCTCTTCGCAGGAACTTGAATCCCATGTGCAAATAATGAGGAGGGAAGGGATATGGAGCGAGGAAGGTGGGAAGAGATTATGAGATGATGGTCGTGCTGCTCGTGGCAAGTATATCATGTAAAACTGATGCAAAGCCAGCAGAACAAACCCGACAGGTGGCAGCCCGCTTGTTGTAGTCAAGGAAGAAGGTCGAAGCAACACGCGGATTTGCCCAAATGCGTACGAGCGCTTACACGCTTGTGGCGTATCGTGACAGATGGCTTGAGGCCCGTCTGTTAATGTTGTTTGCGGACCTTTGCATTCTATACTCAGCTTGTCATGAACTGAAGGTAACGCTAAGGAATGGACACTTGGTGACGTCGCATAGCTCGCCGGACTGATGAATGTTACTGACCGCAATTTCACATGCACTTTGAGATTCATGCACTAACATCTCGTCACGCAGGCTTCCAACTTCACACGCCTCGCAATCTCGACGAGGGTGCTTGATCTACACTGCGTTTGGATTGCTTGTGTGAGCTATAGTGCATGCTTTTTTGAGCGTACCGGATCGCTGACGTTCTGCAGATGACATACCCTCTTTCGTCTTCAGAGATTCTAATGATCGATCGCTGCACGAGTCAAGACCCCTCGCTACGACTCGATTCACACGCGCTCACTACTATTTGGCACGGTAAGTCAGCAATAAGCGCCAATTTTCCATGGCTCGCCTCGTATGCCACAGTCTCAAAAGGTCATTCCATGAACGAGTATGCCTGAGATAGATCATAATCTGCAAGACTGGTTTCCATTTGAGCAGGATACAAGTGCGCCATTGCGACTATGTCATGTGCTTCTAAAACGTCTTTGATCGCATCAGGAATCATGCGTGGATAAAGCACGTATTGGTGACTCTCAGTCACGGTGCGGGCATTCTTCCCCTACTGACAATCGGCGTCAACATGGCGTCCAGAATTTGAAGGAACGATGGTCAGTACTCTGACTTGAACGGTATGTTGTGTTGTTCTACCAGCTTAATGACGAGATAAGCAGAATGGTAGTGATGGAAGCCTGTATCATTAATTTCTGCCCCTGTATTGAGAAAGATTCCCAGATTCCCTGCCAGTATGATCGGAAGCTCGTTGATTCAATTGTCCGCTGCATGGCATGCAATGCTGGAGCAGCACATGTCCTTGTCTTTGTCGTGTCGAACGCATCATGAGGGTAGTTTTGCGACTGAATGACTGTTGAGATGACACGCGAAAGTTCCAGCCTAGACATGGCAGCGCAACATATTCTGTCATTCTAAGCGTTGCTGGACCGCAATGTGATGGTGCCACAAGGCCACGCCACCCGCCACTGACCGCGCATCACCGGCTCGGGCGCTTTCGAACTCTTCGCACTGCGGCATTATGGCTACCTTTCTCGACGAAACTCGTTGCATATGATATTTACTCGACAGTCTCAGGTATCTGACATCGTCTCGTAATGGTAGGACATTGAAAATATTTAGCAGCAGCAAGCCTCAAGGCAACAAGGACATTTACAAGCGGGGTTTCGGGCTACAGAGTCAATCATCCGAAAATCTGGATACATTTAGGAACTATTTCAGTCACACACCGCTTCACTTTCATGGTTGCTTCATTCATCACAGTCAAAAAGTTGCTCCGGGAAGTTCGCCCTCATACTAGGCCGTAGGTATCGCGCATCAAGATGTCCATTTGTGCCTTATTAACGCCTCTTCACACGATCCGTCCCGATGTACGGGGATTGTTGCGTTAATTAGACTTCGAAAATGTCTTTCTCGTGGCTGCGAAGAACAAACCGGATTGCTGCAAGTGTATCGTCGGTGGACTCGCGATCGTTCCCTTTGTACCGGCCATCCGGCTCATAGAGTCTCCTGACTGTGGTCGTGCTCAGCAGGACCGGCCGCAGGAGCATCTTCCATTCAGCCAACCGGTAGCCAATCCAGCCTTACTGTCGAGGGTAAAGTCAGATCACTCGGAACTCCTTACTTAACGACACAACTCGCCGGTTTATATCATCTGACCTGGAAGATAGTTCGTCTGTGTCAAATGAGCGCAACCATCCTTGGTTTGGGACACTTGGCTTGGGACACATAGGCAAGCATGCATATCGCTTAGATCTCGTCGCTCTGGCTAATACGCCGGTCCCGTTTCGAAGTGTAATAGTGAAGTGAAATACAAAACGAACAATTGCAGGCCACCCAGGAACCTATGCGTTGATGCAGCCTCTGCCTATCTTCTACAAATTCAAATGCATCGTACGACAGCCCCTCTGTAATCTTCACCGCGAGCGCTCACCAGTGGCATTGTCGGATCTCAAGTATGGCGATCGTAGCTTGTTTCGTAGATGATGACTCTGTCGACGGCAGCATTGGTGGGGATATTACATGTTAATGAGGATCGAGCCTGCGCTCGCCTACTCCGCGGACTGTCTGGACGAGCTGGTTGTCCACGCCCCTGTGCTTGCATGTGGGTTCTCCGGGACTGATGGCCATGCGCGCTCTCCTCGCAACAAGTACTGCAGCAACGGCGACGATACCTGGACGTCATGGGCGGCAGAGGTTGGAGGCCGGTGAAGAAGATGTTCTGCGGGCAGCACGCCGACTCGACGTAGAGCACCTTCCCAAGGTCGCCGAGAGAGTCTACGGAGGCATTCTTGGAGAGCCCTGCGGTACGTGTCCTGGAGGGAGCGGAGCGTGTGGCTGTCCTCCGTCGTGCCCTGTGTTTAGTAGACTTTATGGGGGTGACAGTGTCCTTTAATGGGAGGTGAGCTGTCTGAATGCGTATGCAGCGGATGATTTGCTTACTGATGCTGAGGCCGCCGTAGTCGTTGTTCCTCCGTTGTGAAGGCTCGGCGCCCTTGACCACTGCTCATCTTCCTCAAGAATGTTGCGCAAGAGTGGTTCCGGAAGCGGTACTGATGACATTGCTGCGATCAGTTCTTGAGGGTTCTCTATGGGAGGTGATAACCCGGTAATCGGTCCTACTGACTGAGCCATCGTTAGCCATCCTGAGGACAAGTACCACATGCTGCTCGACGTACCGTTGGACTTAGACCACTCGTCACCACCCTACGCCGAAAGTTGATGCGGACTGGAATGTGCTCCGGAGGTGTTGCTGTGTTTCCGGTATGGAGCTGGGGTGCCGATCGTGCAAGGACTTCGACACGGCCGCTACTATAGCGGCCCGCTTTAGTGACCTTAAGACAAACGGTGAGCGTACAGGCTTTAACGGGCTAGTCGGTTGACTCACTGATCGTCCATCTCCATCCGTTTTCGTTTGTACGTTCATAGAATCCAGAGAGTCGGATATCGTAGCAAACTGAGCGTTGTTTTGATGCACGCCGGATCGATATTGCGCCACAAGTTGAATGGTGGTCCAAGTTCTAGTTAAGAAGCCGATGATCATTGCGGTGGGCGATCAAGTTAGATATCGCGGATTGCAGTGAGTAGCTTTCGGTACAAAATGTCGAGCACGTTGATCGTGAACAAGAGATGCTTTTCTAGCGAGAGAATGGGGTGATAGTGTTGTGCCGACGAAAAGCGACACTGGCAGTTTTAAGACGCGGAGCGAGTGGCTCATGGACTACTCTAATTGTCTAGCTGGGCGCTAATACTACAAAGTTGGCCACAGAACACAGGACAGCGGCCGTTGTTGAGATCGAGCTTGCTCCCAAATGACATCTTGAAGGACGTTGATGCATACGGCTGTGCTGGATATATTCATGGTGCTCCCATCAGATTGTCAGGCAGCGTTTACCCTTCTTGAAACTCAAGAGAATTTATAAAGACGGACGACGTCTTTGCGGGGTCATGCAGGCCGAGCATCAATCTTCTATGCATTGAACATGGATCGTTGATCGTTTATCCTGCCGTTGTCCAGTTTGCAGTGGGAGAATTAGTCGAAAATCTGCCGTCTTTTTTGAATCGCTCGTGAAGCAGAGTGAAGCAGGCATGCATCATTATTCGGAGTCGAGCGTAGCTTTGCTCGGTCGATTCGAGGGCATGAACGCAAGCTTTAAAGCACTTGGAGCCCACAATTGTAATATTTCTCAGATATTTCCGGCGAGTTACACGAGGCATCCTGAGTGTGGCCACGTAGACTTGCTTTCAGCTTGAGAGCAAGCCCTAGTAGCAATGAGCGAAATACAACTACGATCAACTTTTGAAGCTATAGTAGTGGTGATTAGCGGTGCCACATGGATCGCGCGCCACTGCCAGCAGCTCGAGCGCCCGGTCACTGAGGGAAAGTCTTTCCTCGCCTTCAGTTCATGACTCCCTCGTAAGCGGGTCATCGGTGAGTAGCGTCTTGTCTGACCTACCAGCCACAACGGGAACTCATGGTGAAACCAGGAGGGCGATGCTGCGGCCACGGCAGAAAGGGACAAGCCCGGCGAGCCGGATGCTCTCAGAAGCGGCCCTTCAAGACTCAGGGAAAATACCATGCTCGGCGTGTGGCTTATCACAAGCAGCGCCAGGAGAGAGACGAGGTGTTCCATCGCCTCAAGGGGAGGCTGCGAGTGGGATCGCCGCTTTGAAGCCATCTGGGATAGGCAGACAGAGGCATGAAAGGCGTGGGGAAAGGAGACGGCGGCTAAGATGCTGCACATCTCGCCACGCCTGGCGCTGCTAGGGCTGGAGTTGGACGATCATGTTGAGAGTGAAGTCGTCGAGTGTCGCTATGAAGAGGACGGCCGTTGGTTCTGAGCAGCCGTTGAAGGTCCGGAGGAGCGGGCCCTTGACGTCGACCGCGAGGCGTCCTATAGAACATCGCACTCAACTATGTTATCTCACCAGCAAGTATTAGATCGCTCACAATGTAAATATAAGCGCCTGGCCTGTTATCGAGATCTTCGAGGCGGTGGCATCCATGCGCGGGTGTGACCACCGCCACAGACGCGTTGGTCGTTGATCGTTGGTGTTCGCTTCAACGTGCTCGACTCGCGTTATTTGGTTCCAGTGGCACTTCAACTTCCGACGCGAATATAAGGGCGGCCGTACTCCGGCTCTTCTGCTTACTCTTAAGCAGCTCAGCCGCTCTTTTGCACCGCGCAGACTTGTGACTATAGAGTCTTCCTTCTTTGCCTCTGTTACTCCGGCTATTCGCCTGTCATTCCATTGCGCATACAGCTGAGCCATGGCCACCTCTCCTATGGAGTGCGACGGGGACACCACGTTGGTGAATCCAGAAAACGACCACCGCAGGATCGCGGCATCTCCCACCGAGTGGAGCGACGAGTCGGACTCGTGGTTCGATGATGAGCAAGAATTCGATGCAGAAGCCTTTGCAGGTGCAGAAGACCAAACGTTCACGGACAGCGAATCAGTAAGTCAGCTCGCCAATCAATGTTCGTTTCATCCTGTGCACTCACCAATACATAATACAGGACTCCGACAACACGGACTATTGTCGTCTGTGGAGGCGCATTAGCCCCACTCCGCCTGCCAACCTCGAAGAACGGATTTTGGACTGGAAGAGCCGGACTGATGAGGAAGGGAATTATGTGAGCAGGTGCTTTGTGGTAAGCTTCGGTAGCGGGCAAACACTCTCCAAAATTTTGATATTTCGTCTCCTCTTAGATGCACCAAACAAGGGTCTTCGTGGACAGGTCCGGCAACCCATGACGTACAAAGACAGTTCGCATACTGTCCGGCTTATGATGCCCACGCCGATCCCACCGCCAGAGTCGTCCTATGCCTTACGGAATGGATCGTGGGACTGTCATGTAGCGGACGGCCAAGTAGTTATCACACAGAAGACGTTAGAGGAAGCAGGATCACTGGGGCCTGGATGTGTTGATGCGGGAAGTCTACCTAGAGTTTCCCGCTTGGGGGCGTCCAACAGCAAACGGGTTTTGAATGTCCTGACAATTGCTTACCGCATGCTTTAACTCTTCTCCGCTCATATCACCGATCGTGACCCAGGGTATGTGCTCCAAAACCTCTGCTACACAGAAGGAATACAGCATGGCCGCCGTGGCTCTCTTGAAGGAAGCATGGGAATCTATGTGCAACAGTGCTACCGATGCCATGCTGTTCTGAACGTCAAGCAATACCGCCGGCTGTCATTCACGAGCTGATTCGTCTCCCAGCTGTGTGATGGCGATGAGATTACGTTGGAGGCAATGATGTGCGGTGGTGGTGAGTATAAGGCATCTGAATAGAGGTCATTTGAGTTGGATGAGATCATTACTCTCCACGATAGAATCTCGTCTTGTTTGTGCGGGATGGTCGTACGTTGATCATCGTCATTCGCGAATCAACCCCGCAGATCAGAGTCTTCACCACCGCTTGCATGATGCAGACTGCTTCAGCCACGCTGATGAAGACGAAGTGTATGTGGTGAATCTGAGATAATTGATGAAGTAGCAGCCAAGACACACGAACAAGTCGCATCTCGATTCTCTGGAGTCTGAGGCTCGAGTCTGAGCGGCGGCGCTCGCCCTGACGCGACCACGTGACCTAGCGATGTCCCGCCACACCCGCCACACTCGCCCTGGTTCTCAGTGCTCATCTTCACCGACACCGGCCATCATGCTTTCATGATGGATCGACAATGGCCAGCGTATCAATCAACATTCTATTTTTTACGAGGGGCTTCGTAAAGGTGAATATTCGGCCTTCCTTTCTTCTTGTGCGAAAAGTACAAACTTGAATACTACTCGCACTGATGCTGTCTCTATTACATTGCCGCATAATGTTGCATCAGCAATTTGATGCGTAAAGCTTTATTCAGAAGGCACTTCGCAGAAAATTCTGACCCTGGAATTACACAGGGCTCTTACATTTGCGGGCATAGCTGCTGGGAACTGTGAGTCTTAAGGACCCTACCTATCGCCAGAAAAGCCTGGAAAAGAGCATGCGATATATTAGAGATATTCAAATTAGGTTTCATGATAAAATGGCAAGGAGGGGCGTTTTAAAGAGCTTCATTGAGCTTGGCGCGTTGCATGCACGGCGTTCTCATCGTCTCTCTGTTCGGGCAGACCCGAGTTGTACGCAAGCTTTGAGACTACGATTGCGAGACTATAGCCAAGATAAGGATGAAAGGACTCGCTGAAACGGACCTTTAGTAGGCGAATTCGAATGAGTTGTGGCCACCTACTTCGCGTGCCACAGCGGTCCAGGCTTGCGATTGGCCGCCACATGATGGTGCCACTCCCGCGTCCCCACGACGAAGTAATTTCCCCCACTCATTTTCTGAGCATTTTCTGGCATTCTGTGGCCTGCTCGGATCGCCATCATCTTGCATGCGATACGTTCTTGGACGAAGAGAAGAAACTCTGCACTCAGTTTCGACGCCGAAGAAGACCATTCGTGTCTGCGATGACGGTTGCAATGTCGAAGAAATATCTGGAGCGTTGTCTCATGACTGGATGCCATGAACTTGGCAGACTCGTCCTATGCATTCTCTCATAGTATCAATCTGGGTTTTCGTTGTCGTCAAAGACCTGTTGGCAACGAATGGGCCACGGATTCTCACCCAGATGCTTCCTTGACTCGTCATCTTGCACGCTATCTGTAGCCTCCATGTTCAAAGGGTCTTCATCGAGACAGAGCTATCCCCATTGCTAGAACATGCTGCCTAATACATCCATTTGGGAAACAGGACACGACCTAGTGCGTCTCTTGACACCAGGCTGTGGATCTTCGTGAGCGATCACTGCGATAGCTCGGTCGACCATAAGGCCCTCGTTGCCGTCCCATGGCGTATGTGGGACTCCAAAACCAGAAGGCATGTAGACGTGGTTATTGAATATACCCTGTGGTTCCATGCGCAGGCATCGTGTTCAATGGCATAAGTCTTCGCACAGTATACGTCAACGAGAACTTTAACGAACTGGCCTCCTTCTCAGTTATTCTCGACCTGGACCGGACATTGCTTGCAACTTTCCAACTGATTGCGTGCGGATCTTGGTTGTTAATCCCGGTACGGTGGTCGCATTGGTAGAGCGTGACCGTTGGCAGCATCCTCACGCGAACATAGGCTGTGGATCTTGGTGCTCGATCACTGCGATAGCTCGGTCTTTCATAAGGCCCTCGTTGCCGCACCATGGCGTATGTGGGACTCCAAGGGCAGAAGGCGTGTAGACGTTGTTATTGAACAGCCTTCTTCTGGTTTCATGCGTACGTATTGCGCTCAGTTGCGTAAGTCTTCAAATCATTCACGTCAATAAGAAGTTCAAGGGCTGACCTCTTTCTCAGTCATCCCCAACTCGGAAACCGCTTGCAACTTCCCAAGTGATTGCCTAGACGAAGTTGATCTGTAGTGTCCCGGTACTGTGGTCGCCTTGGTGATTATTGGCAGCATCCTCGAGCAAACGTAGGAGCAGGTCTACTGAGGGGCTCCCCACGTCAGGAGTTCCTCCTCCTCCTTCCCTGTACGAGTGGAGCTTTGCTCTCTGGCCAAGAACTTGGACGTTGCAAGGCGTGGCGCGCAGAACAGGAAAGCCACGAGTAAACAAATTGCCAGAAGCGCGTCATACGTGTCGATTCACGACTAGCAAGTATCAAGACGTTGTTGTGGGCCAGACTATTGAACAGGTGTGGCTGCTCATGGCCGTGGTGAAGGAGAAGCGAGAGGAGAGAGAAAGTCGCGCGTCGACGCTCACATGGACAGGCGCTTACACGACTGTGGCGGAAGAGTCACTCAACGGGCACCCAATTGTTGCTTTGGCTGCACGATCTCGCGGAAGGTTCGCTGATTCTTGAAGTACAGTTGTGCAAATATGTTCTCAAACACAATACGGCCAGTAAGTACATACAGCTTGTCGACAGAAGATGTAGTTAAATGAAATATTTATCCACAGGCCAGCCCCCCCAGCTTCATTTAGCTTACATCTCGCCGCATCACTTGATTGTATACGCTCTCCTACTGTTTTCCGTCCATCGTCCCCTTCTTTCTCCCGACGAGCCCGCGGCCACACATTGCCTATGGCCTAATTGATCGCGAAGGGGCCTGTGATCGTGCGGGAGCCAAAGGGTGTGCTGAGCTAGCGCTTCCGTCGGTACGCGTAGGACAGACAGCGTTGTCTGTCTTCCTGCGACCAGCTCGCGTCCTCGTGCCATTCGTACACGTCCGTCCTGGCAACGTCGACGGAGTCACTATGGGCGCCGACATTATTTCCCAGGTCGGTTTGGGAACCAGTTGTCGAGGACTCCGCGCAGGGGTGTGCTGTCTCGCCGCGGTTGCTCGTCGGTGTGACAAGTCTTACACTCGGTCGTGCAAACAGCTGACAATCCCTCAAATTCTTCAGTTTTGATGCTCCCGTGCGACAGATTTTCACTCACCGAGCGGGAATCCGATGACACTGTCCTCCGCCGCCCATCAAACATTCGCAAATCCAAGAGACTGCTCCACTCATTCTCCAGGATGTGCTGGTGCTGTATAGGCACGAGCGACACTCTCGACCCTGCCGCGGACGCCGTCGGCGTTCCTTGCCTCGATGACTGGAACGCGCGCAGGAGTGGACCGCCAGTCTGCCGACCGCGAATGAAGAATACCAGAGGATACAGTCATCGAGTTCACTTACCATCCAGTCCTCACTGCCTTCATGCTCACACTCTCTTTGGTCGCCCTCCGTATTCGACGCGTCTTGCGTGACCGTCTCCCAGGGCAGCGGAGGGAGCTGATGAGTTGGCCATCAAGAGCATCGCGGTAAGTCGGAGCAGAGATCGTGAAACACGGTAGTGAGTGCACAGATAATGACGGCGCATAGGCACGCAACTGACCGGTTTGTCCTTGCTGCTCGTCTTTGTTTGTGCACTGACAGTGACCTCGGATGCGACACTCATGAAAGTCTTCGCTGCAACTGCCTTCTTGTACTCTCGCGCCCATTGTAGAGGATCGTGATCCATTCGTTGGATGGAGGATATCTGTGTGCTCGTGCTTCTGACCGAGACGCGAGGCTTTTCGAAGAATCCAAGAGCCATGGGAAAATTTACAGCACCGATGGGGTTGAGTGTTCGATGTGGTTCACTGAGGAGAGGCTTTGACCTCTGTGCGTCTTGGAGGATGAAGAGGTAGGAGTTGGCGAAGGCAGCGGTGCAGTCGTCGTGGTTAAGAGCGAAATCGCGCGAGTGGCAAATCGCCATCGATAGCGAGCGCTTATTGGATTGATCGCTGAGGGTGGCGAGTGGCGGCCAATGATTGCGTCCTCTCGGGCTTGGGATAGCAATATGGATTTCGGTGCACTGTGAGTACAGTGTACTCTGCAAATCCATAGATTAGGATTTCTCATAAGGAACTGACTCTACAAGACATAGTATCCGAAACCAGACCTGATTCTGCTCAATAAGCACCAATTGTTGCTTGGCCGCACCATTGCGCGGAAGATTCGCTGATTCTTGGACTACAAATGTGCAATATTCTCAAACACAATACGATCAGTATGTACATACAGCTTGACAAAAGGTGTCGTTGAATGAAACATTTGCCCACAGGCCAACCCCCCAGCCTCATATAGCTTACATCTCACCACATCACTTGATTATAACAACCTGTCCTACCATTTTTATCCAACGTTCCGTCGTTCCTCCCCACGAGCTCGCGGCCGCACATTAACTATGGCCTACTTGACCGTGAAGATCCTGAAGGCTTGTTAAGCCTACTTTTTTCGTCGGTACGCGTAGGATAGACAGCGTTGCCTGTCTTCCTGCGCACAGCTCGGGTTCTCGTGCCATTCGTATGCGACCGACTTGGCGACGTCAGCGGAGTTGTTATGAATGGCGACATTGTTTTCCAGGTCATTCCGGAGAGAAGACGCTGAGGAGTCCGCGCGAGGGCCTGCTTCCTCTCCATGATTGCTCATTGTCATGGCAAGACCATGACTTTGCCTACGGATGACTGGCAATCCCTCCAACGTGTCAATCTCGAGACTCTGGCGCAACAGTGCTGCACTCACCTCTTCGGACCCCAGTGACATCGTCCTCCATCGTCCGTCAAACAGTTGCGGATGCAAGGGACTCGTCCATTCGTTCTCGAAGACGTGCTCTCGCTGTATAGGCACGAGCGACGTTGTCGAGCCCGCCCCGGATGCCGTCGGCATTCCCTCCTTGACGGTTGGAACGCGCGAAGGAGTAAACCTCCAGTCTCCGACGAGGGATGAAGAATAGTACAGGAGAAGACAGTAACCTAGTTCACTCACCTTCCATTCCTCACCGCTTTCGCGCTCACTCTTCTTGATCGCCGTCCACACTCAATGCGTCCTGCGTATCCGTGGGCAATGGAGGGAGCTGACGGAGTTGGTCGTCAAGAGTATGGTGGTGAGTGACAGACGATGACAACGCATGGGCATGCAACTGACCGGTTTGTCTTTGCCGCTTGTCTCTACGTTGCCTTGGCTGCGACACTCATGACAGCCTTCCCTGCAACTGCCTCGTTACATTTTCGCACCCATTCTGGAGGATCATGATCAACTCGTTGGGTGGACGTCATCTGCGTGCTCATATTTCTGGCCGAGGCGCGAGGTTTTCTGAAGAATCCAAGAGCCGTACGAGAATTTACGGTACTGACGGGGATGGGCGTTCGATGATGTTCAACAAGAAGAAGCTTTTACCTCTATCCGCCTTGGAGGGTGAAGAGGTAGTTGGCGAACGTGGGGAGTGCACTCATCGTGGTCAAGAGGGAAGTCGCGCGAGTGGCAAGTCACCATCGATAGCGAGCGCTTAGCGAGTTGATCGCTGAGGGTAGCGGGTGGCGGCCAATGATTGCGTCCTCTCGGACTTGGGACGGCAATATGGATTTTCGCTGCATTGTGGGTACAATGTACTCTAGGAATACGCCACTGAAGGTCTATGGGATTGATATATACAAGACATAACGTCCGAAGACAGTGTTTTGCTTCTCAATCATCCGTTACGACTATTCAAAGCACCAAAAACTGCATTCTAGTGCACCCCAGAGCTCGAGACGATACCACACAGAATGCAGAAATTAAAATAATGCAAATCGTAAGTTCACTCTATCGATCTCGACCGTGATCCATGGTTCAATGCAGCCTTGACAGCATCACATGCAATTGTTCGTTTTTCGCCTTTCCTCCCTCCGATGCGTTGTTGTTGTTCCTACATAGCACGTAGTAGAGTCAATCGTTGGCATTTACCGTCTGTCTATCTCCCGAGGCGTGAAACGCTTCGAGGGCTGCTGACGCCCCCCTTTCTTAGCCATGCTCCACATATTCTGTTGCTTGTGCTCATGATCTCCGCACGAATGGTGAGTGCATATATTGTGATGAGTCAGTTTCTGATTGGCTGACTTACCGAACGATCGTCCTTGCTCCTCGCTGTTAGAGCGTGCAACGTTCCAATACTGAGAAAAGGAAGATACCAGTATGGATTTAATCTACTTCGACCATTATTGTTCAATCCTCTATTCAACACCCTGCCTACGCTCGCATGTCATTCAAATCATCCCTGACTGGAAATTCCTCTATCATAGATCTGCATTTCAAGCTTGACCACACTGCTGCTTCCCATACAATTGTCGCTCCTCGTGCATCTTCCTCCGTCAGCAATGAATTCTGTAAGTAAGCAGGAGTGCTGGAAGGAACATCATCTCAAGCGTGACGAGGATGGTGGCTCGACATGATTGGAGTTAACGACGACGCCTGTGTCCATATCATGCACTGTTTCCGGCCATCCAGCAGCAGCTGTGCTGTCATCCGTATTAGCAATGGAATATGCAGAATGAATAGCTGATAGCTCGTCTTGAGTACTGCAGGTCGCGATCCTCAATCTCTTCTTCCGTTCGGTATTTGTAGCTTCCTGTGATTCGTCGGCTTCACACATTCTCCTCTTTCTGCATGAATCGATCGACGCCTCTGGGTTTGACACGTATACCGGAGCAGTGAACATCACTGCATGTGCGTCATCCATCTCAATTCCCGGATACTGGTTGCGATGTGGGCCTACGGCTCCGTAAAACATGGTTGAACCCTCGGTCGGCGGCGTGCTCGTCTCTTGGAATGGACTTTGCAGGCCGGTGACTTCTCCCTTCCAAGTGCCCATGGAAGCAAATTCAGACATGCTCTGTGCATGCACAGGCGCAAACAGAATGGCTCCGGGTTGAAGATCAGGAACGGCGTCACCGTGACTCCCAGAGAACGTTTGCATCTCGAGACAAATCAGCCTGCAAGATCTGAGCGCTGCTCGTTCGATACCAGCTCACCGTCTCACTGCACACATCTTGTTCCTCTCCGAAGCTGTCGATCATGGCTGTCTCTTCTTGTCGGAGGTCGAACAATCGGGCATCCGGGAATAGAGGGGACAATGGTCTAGATATGAATACGTCCTCCCTGCCGTAGCCATTCCCTTGTTGATTCATCTTGTAAGATCCGTTGTTGGTCGTGCCTGCGGGTGTGCTTACATAGGATATCTCCTGTGTAGCATTCATGGTAATGTCACAGTCGGCGTCGAAGACTTCTGGTAGTTCAATAGGCCTTAGACGTATTGCGATGTTATTTTCTCTGATGTCTTGGAGTCCTTGAGCAGCTAACATGTGCGCCATCTTAGAGTTGTGAGCGGTGTGGCGCGCCTGAACAAGACCAAGGCAACCAAGCCACAAATAAAGTCAGTCCCCTTGCACACAATTCTTGATTGATAGAGTCAGGAACGCTTACTACTTCCTCTGTTTAGGCACGTCACTCGAAGTTGGAGGAGAAAAGGACATGACCATAGAGTCAGAGGAAACGCGTCGATGGCCAGCGCTTATACAGCAATGTCCCGGTTTGGTCACCATTGTCAGTACTTACTGATGAAAAGCATGATTCCCACGCAACCTTGTCTGATTCTTAGAGACCGGGCATAGATCACAATAGTACTGTGCATAGTTGCGACAACGCGGAGAATAAGGTAGTCTGGAACAATTCTACAGGCATCGCCATTCTCTCTTGCACATACGCTGGGTCAGCGGCTGGCTTACGCCAATTGATGTACGTGTCCTTCGCGATTCTCAACTCACAAAGTTATGAACTGAGGTCACAAGGCGCGTTCGAGTTACTCGATGGTCCGGGGCTACATGTCATATCGGGCTGCCGATATGGTCTCCGCGGCATCGTCATCGCCACGGGTGGCGCAGGCCTCTTTCTTGCAACGGTGAAAGGTTGTCTTTGTCGCTTGAACCACTTCCGCAAGGTTAGTGTTATTGATTGGATCGCACATGCTCTAGAACCCTGACTGATGTACATTGAATGGCAGCCATTGATTTTCTTAGATGTATCAGCTCATGAATGCATGATCTCTGATGTGGCGGTAGCTGTAGATTTTCCGTAGACATTCCCCCCTGTCCATATCAGATTGAGACATCCCAGTTGACAATCGTACGTCATCTATTACCCTTCATAATTAGGAATTCATGCTAAGTATTCCTGTACGCCGTACAATATTGCAATACCGTTTATTCACCTTCTCCAAGTCAATGCGATGGTGGGTCATCCTGAATGACTATTGTGAAAAACAATCGCGGCAGCCTCTATTCGTTCCCACGCATGATGGATTTCGCCCATCAGTGTCCATCTTCATAATGGGTAATTCCAAGGTGTTTATATATTGTTGAGACTCATGTTTCTCACCAGAGATAATGACGGTCGTGATTCTGCAAGCAAGCTCGGCGTACGGTCGGTGGGCATAATACGGAGCCCATATTCAACGTTTTATTGATCTGCGAGAATGTATGCCAGCGGCAATATACACTATTCCGTGATCTGCAATGACGGCTTATGGGCGTCAAAGACACCTTTACGAGAGATCGGTAACTTTCGACTCAGAGAAAAAATTGATCCGAAATGAGGCACTACTAGCTCGAATGCGTTACGGTACTGCGCGGCCGACGGTGGGAAAGATAGATTAAGCTATGTGCTGCTGCATGGTTAGCCTCATTGAGTGTCCTCTGCCGCAAATGTGTTGGATAGTCTGCGTTGAATGACGGTACATTGGAGTGAACTGAAGTGTGCCCGACGGTCCCTTCAAGTCTTTATGGTGCTCTATATATTTTCTATATTTGATAGTGGCTTCTGAACTGTGTTCCTGGCTGCTCAAAGGCCAGTTACTGCAGTCCCTGAGACGATGCTTCCAGTGATCATCTTATTCCTGAGTTTATATTATTGTATTTGCGCCGGGGCTTGGCAACCATGCGCCGCGAGCAATCGTAAATTCGGAATAAATCCATTTGATGTCGAAGATCGTAGTACTAGTCTCATGCGGCAGAGATGATGCCAGGCTTCAAGCGGATTTTGCTTTGAGTCTATTTTCTGTCTGGCATATGATTTAACCAAGCTCACTCTGGGCGCTTTGCTGTTTGCGCGGAAGTCATTTGCAGCCTCAATGGTTCACTGTGATCCGAGCGATGAACCACGTCGACGCCACAACTGGAATCTAACTACCTGATTGGTCGCCACAATGCGTGACTCACGACGCTGCAGGGATTGACGCTCACCGTGTCGTTACCAACTTGATGATCTCAAGATGACCTTGCCTGCTCACAATCTTCAACGTCCCTTGATGCTGTTCTCCGTTTTTGAGGCCGATTCTTGTAGAGGGAAGATCCTGCGGGAAATGTGTTAGCAGATTGTCAAGACAAGGTCATTGCAGCTACGTCGCAACGAGCATGTCCGTCACGGTCGGCGAACATCAATCTATAGTTTGTATTCGAAGACAAACGCACGAAGAGCACGTTTTTCCTATTCAAGCAGCTTTGGAGAACATCAAACCATTCACCGACTTCCTAACGTTACTATGCCTCCTCGCTCAGCACATCGGTTTCTTGGCGGCGTAGTGCCCGAACCCCTGGTCATCCTCCCATTCCATCTGTACTGGGGAGGAATGCGATCATCTCTAGCTTATCTCGCACTCTGTCACCCGCAACTTCCGTATTGTGATGGCAACTCAACGTCGGATGGTGCTGGCGATGAAGTAGAGGTAGATCCTATATTCTGTCGGGCAACAGGAACTTGGCTGATATCAATGGTCAGGCATATCGCTCGCTCGAAGGCAAGAACGCAAGGAACGCACGCAGGACATGTTCTGGTTTCGAATTTCTGAACAGCTGATTGTTCGTTATGATCACCGAATGCTGCTGCGGTCTTCATCTTCTTCCTTGGCTCATTGTTCCTCTAGATCCTTCATGTCAATGTCCTCGTCGAATGCCTCAGAGAACTCTCTCTTGTGCGGGCTGTGGGGTCCCGCTTCAATGGAAGACTCCGACAGAGTGTCCAACATGTCACTTTCGGCGTCGCTCGAATTGTATTCATCATCCTGCGGATGTAATGGGTGAGCGAGTATTTTGTTATGCTGTACTCCACGTTTTCGCTTACCTCGACGTCATTCAACCATCTCTCTTGACGGCGTTCGCATAAGGCGCCCATTTCATCTGTCCATGTGCCCTTAGCGATGGCATTCAAGTCGACCTCGGGATCAACAGCTGTACCGGACTTCATAAGCGGTGGATGTGCGGTGTTCTGCTCCTACATTGGCCGCGTAATGTTAAGTTAGTACGTCATTGAGCTTTCATGTACCTGAGTGGCATACCATGTGACTGTGCATACGTTTACCATCCGTAACATCTTCACTCCTGGTTTTTGACGCGCCTTCTTTAGGCTCCGTCTCGACATCAAGTGACGGCCGCACTCCATATTCCGACTTCATCACACTGCCATCTTTCTGTTACATGGTGATTTGGCACAAATAAGCACGGAAGACACGATGGACGTCCATGACAGCGCACTCACCGACCGTTCGGACTGGATCAGCAACTTTTTGTTCTTCCTTTTAGGCAACACTATACGAGGGGGCGGCCTCCTGGGACCACCAACGACCTCCATGAACCGCTTGTGGAGATGATCCGCAACACCACAGCGACGTTCATGTTCCTCGAGCAAATGTCGCATGTACACTATGGAATAACTGCCAACGTGGCTGGAGTCACTCATCGTTGCGACTGTCGGACGTGGTGAAGCTTAATGGCCCTTCAGAATAGGTCAGAACTCCGTTGAATCTGAGAGTTTGCTTACTGAAGTCGACAGGTATCGAATGTTACACGCTGCAGAATTAGCTAGGGTGGGAAGTGGGGAAGGGGAGGTGATGGAAGGAGCAAGAGGGACGCGTCGTGGTTCAAGCGCTTATTCTCACAGGTCACTTTGTCCGCCGAGTGGCCACGGCCGACGGAGCCTGAAAACATCGCGCGATATGGCATTTATTGTCAGAAGGCTTAGCCTGAATTGTACCGGTACGTTATATCATTGTTGATGGACGTGTAGTTGAATACAATCCCTTGCACATTTGTCTAGCTACTACGAGCCCATCCGAGATGTGTTTGTGCCTTCCCTGCTCTCCGTCTCCGCGAGGCTATCCTGATCTATATACATGTCGATTCCGTCCGTCCACGTTGTGCTAGATGTTTACATCGCAGCCCTCGGTTGCGAAGACATCCGCGCATCTTTTGCACCGTCCCTCGAGCTCTCCTTCTGGAACTCTTGCATGCTGTTGTGAGCATCCACAGCCAGTCCCGAGATATCCGGATCCACCTCATTCAGGTCCACGCCACTAGGGATTATAGGGAGCTGGATCAGAGATTGCAACGAAAGCTCGGAAACCATGGACAAGCCGCGGTGGCCGGCCTCGTCCGCTTGCTCGTGGTGGTCGCATGGTCCTATATTACCCGTCTCGAACAGCAGACCGGATGAAGGCGAAGAGGACCGTTGCGATAGGTTAGCCCACTGCGAGGTGCGCCGGCCGGAGTTGTGCATTCCCTCACGGTATTCATGCTCCCATTCAGCAGCGGATGACGTGTCGGAGTACACAGTTACCCAATCCTATGAGGAAGACTTAGTGAGCTGTCATTCCTTCGTTGTATGATTCATGCCACTCACCGCCTCCGACATATGCCCAGGTTCTACTCCACTGGTTGCCCCTTCCCCATCCCAACTCGCCCCTTCGTCGCTGTCGTCCTCAAGAAAGAACGCATCCACCATCTCGCGACCGCGAGGCAATCGATGCATCAACTCGATAGGTGGGGGATAAATTTGCACCGGGTGGCCGTTGAACTAGTGGCGATGTGAGTTGTGTAGATCACGATCCTCATTCGTCATCAAGCTTACCACGCCGTAGAAGTTGGCACCACTCCTGTTCAGGTCAATCAATCGCCTCCAGTCCACCCCATCGTCCTCCATGGTGCCAAAGGTTCCCTGTGGCAGCGATACCAGATCGCCGAGGATTCCATGGTGAGTACACAAGTAATTACGGACGTGATCTTCGGCTGACTCACAGTTTTACCCTCGTCATCCGACGCGTCCGTATATGCTTGTGCTCTCATGACAGTGGTGAACTTGTGGCTGCATGGAATGGCTTGGTGACCGCAAATCGCCTCCGAGAGTTCCGGATGGGGCTGTATAATGAGCAGGATATAAGATATTCTTTTCTTGACTGCTTTTTTAATCTTCTTGAGTAGTCCAAACATGACCGTCTTCAATTAGAGGAAAGTCGTGACGAGAGGTAGACGAAGACAAAGGTGAAGACCAAAGACAAAACTTGCACAAAAGACGCGTACTGAGATGTATCGATGTTTGGTGAGTAGTGTGTGCGATGAAAAGAACGAGGAAAACCGGATGTCTGATGCTTGTTTGATAGGGAACAAGAGTGGAGGGTAAGTAGCAGTGAGCGGCGTTGGTTGGTACCCATATCGCGCGCTTATAGAGGCGCTCGCTGCCACTCGGACCAAGCCCTCATTCTTTCACATATCACATCAACGTTGCCGCTGCCTCGTGTTCTACTCCTAATACAATTGCCGTTTTTCCCAAGAGTGCCTGAACACTCTAAGGTGGCGGTTGTCAGAAGGTAACCTTTCAGAAGTAGACTTTGGCACGCGAGGCTCACAAATGGCAGTGATAAGGCGGTCACGACCACGGCGCAGATTGTGCAGGCAACATCCAATAAGGCTGTGTGCCCAGTAGTCTGTTATGCTGTGAGTCTCTCCATTCTATCTCGTAGCTGAGAGTTTGACCATTATATGGACTTCAGTGCATACTTTGATAATGGTCTCGACGCTGAGAGGTCGTGCTGCCGCCGTCACTCTATAGGTCTTCCTTTTCACAAGACCCAGGCTGTCGGCTTAATTGTGAGTCCTATTTTTAGCGAGTATGAGACTATGTAGTTGAATACTCTCTCTATACAAGTAATGGCTGATCGCCACATGTCGCGCAGTCACTCGATCAGGAATTACAAGAGCATTCAAAGGAAAACGACCACCATAACCTTTCATCAGTCACACAGCTCTGGACGAAATGAGTCAACGTTCTGCAATGGCACAGATTGCATAGAACTCACCTCAGTTCTCCCTTCGTCGTTGAGTGCAGTTCCTGGAGAGGAAGGTATGCACCACACGTTGAGCCTTCTTTCGCCTGGCATGCTCGATTGCAACCCGCCTCTGTTCTACGATCGCATATGCGGCCATGAAGTCGTAGGCCAATTGCGCGTGCTCTAATTGACGAGTGGCAATGCTGGTGCTGGAGCTGCTTTCCGACGATGCTATAGTCAATGATGTTTGATCACTCTGGATTTATTATTGGTATGTATATTTTGTTGGACTGATCTAGCAGTGAGAGCTCACCATCAGCTCCTCGCCCTCGCCCTCGATGCGCATTGCCTCTCCGCTGCCCCATTCCGAACGGTTCGTGATGGGCACTGCAAAGCTATCGGCAACAACAGCGTTGCCATACGCATTGAAGTCATATCCAGCTTGATCCAGCTTGGAGATACGCATGGTGAGCACGCAGACGGCTACGGACTGGTTGATGTTCACCTGACTTCCGTGGTGATCGTTCTCGATCGTATCTGTTTGTATGTTCACAGGCGCGAAAACCTGCGTGATCGTGGATGATTCCCGGTGATTCACTCGAGCGACGCGTGGACGGCGACGAAGTCGACGTATGGCACGCTTCATGGCGGTCACAGTAGTTCTGAAGAGGGACATCCTGGAACAGAACAATAAGCATATGAGACGTAAGTCAAGCTGCACGCTGCCACGCACACTACGCGACGAAAACGTTGGTAGATCAATATTAGGCTCTGAAAGGGGATTTAGGACGTCGCTCGTAGTGTTTGAGGACAGGCGAGAGCAGTGTGCGGGCGCGCTGATTGTCTGTGTTTTGGGAGTGGCGACGCATTACGTAAACTCAGCGGCGGCCTGATTGTTGACTCTTCTCTGCATTAGGCAGTCGTGCCGTGAGTCACAGCCCGCTTGGCGAGTGCTTGAGACTGCACATGCACAGCTGCAACGTTCAACGGTGGAGAAGAACCTGCTTCCGTCAACACAGGATTCAAGGATGTTCAAGTGGTCCGCATTGATCTCCCCATTCGCTCTCTTGTCATTGGCGGGCACCGGTGGCCTCCCTCCCACTCTGAGTCATACATTTGGGGCATACCGGAATGTTCGTAGACGGTCGGTGCGCTTTGCGTGAGACTCGTGAGTTCGTGCATGCAGAATTATCCCTCCTCTTCCGCTGACTCACTTGCTTGTGCCTCCCACTCTCCATCATGCAGCACGATCATGAACGGATATTTATCCGCGGCTAGCTCGTAAAGATGTCTCATCTCTGCACTTCGGGCTCCTGACAAAGCTATGAGACTTAAATGCAGCATACCGCGCAGTCTCAAGATTGTCCGCCACTAGTATAGTAGCATTACTCATAGTGCCTCAGCGGGGACCGACTGCCAGCTGAACGTCTTCTCGTGTTCATCTGGTCAACACCACTTACTACCCTATTCCCTGCTCATCTTGAGCTCCTCGGTGCTAGTGGATTTCGCCATGGTCTTGTAGTATATTATGCACATCTTCGTGCAGTTTTCATGACGGCCTTCGGATGACTCATCTCAACACCAGAGATCGGAAATTGCTGTATTACTGGAAACTAGCGAATACACAAATAATTTGACTAGCCCTCGCTCCAACAGTTCGCTGATAATGCCCTCGGACATCCGATCACACCTGTACGAGTCCTTCGACTTCGCTGCTGGATCCAAGTTTTCGAACACATTCGCATCCGAGAAATGATTCACGCAACTCACTCTACGACCACATATTCCTCGCTTGCTTCACCTCTGGGCCCGTCTAATGGACCCTGACCTTCGTCCCCTCTCTGCTTCGGTTCATTTCCCGTGGTGGCTTCAAGAAACTTGTCGGACGCTTTTTTGGCTTCTCTATGGGTCGTCGCGTTTTTAGCTTGGTTCTTGATCGTGTCTTGCACCGCCGATTCTTCGTTCCATTCCCACGTGGTCTTCTGGCTCTTGGATGTACCCATGTTGTGGACCTGCGTCTTTAGTGACAGGCGAAGAGGAGAGGCCGAAGGAAGCTGCGAGGGATGGTGAGTGCGCCTCTGCATCAGTGTTGGCATCAGTTGTATGTCGTCTGTGTCGATTGGCTGTTTGGTGATAGCTGAGGCTGTCGCCTGGCATGCGGATCTTGTTACCGCTGTTTTGATCTGTGCAAGCCAGCCCGATGCCTTGGCCACCTGGATAGGCTTCGCATCTGATTGTTTCACCGTCTCACTAAGTCGACGATCTTCGTTTTCATTGCCTTCATTCTCCAAGCAGTCGAATGGCACGGGAGCATGCGGTCGTGGGGTATACTGTAGCGATTCGCTTGCCTCCTGACGGTGGACAGATAATGCCGCTATTAGTGAGTAAACAGCTTGACATCCATGATTTGTGTCCTTCTCACCGTTCCAGTGTCCGGCCGGCCACCGGCAAAATCGATGTCCGGGTAGGCCACTTCAGGTCCCGAACCGTTATTAAAGGGTTCAACGACCATGTCGTGAGCCCTTAAGGGCGAGAGCAGGATTGGTTCCGGCTCTGGCATAAATGAGTCCACCTGTTCACCTTCGTATTCCGGATCAGTGGCAGCAAATGCAATAAGATTAGCAAAAGCTCCAGCTACTACCAAAGCAGAGCTTACTGAGTGTGTTTTCATCTTGTACTTTAATAATTTCATCTCCGGGTGCTGAACCCCCTCCTTCCAGGCGATTCAGCTTTGCTTCGACGAGGATGGGCGACAGTGGCTCGAATTGTGGCGTGTCTTGCTCATCGCTTTGTTGATGAGTCTAATAACATAGCGCAAGGTAAGCAAAAAGATTGTTATGACACAGTTTCAGTCGTCTGGCTTACTGAGTGACTGTTTTCTGCCGCATTTTCGGTGCTTGCATAGGGAACGACGTCTGTGGCTACATTGCTACTGATGGACGGACTGTCCAATTTGTTTCTATGCTGGGGCCGTGGTGTCGCATTCTTATCCTCTCCCGCATCACGGTGGGTTCTTCGTGTTGGTAGCTCATTGGTGGCAAGTTGCAGTTGGGGCGAATAAACGGCGTGCTACCCGTTGTCGAATTCTCGGAATGACGACGAAACGAAGACTGTGTACGTACGTGTCGCTGCGCTCGTCGACCTTCCTCAAGCGGTTGAAAGTGCGAGAGGCAGATTCCAGAGATGTGAGCCATGGAGCGTAATGTGGCAGTGGACAAGTGGCAGCAGACGAGTGGCGGCTAGAGGAATGGGGCGAATTGACTTAAGCGCCTATGAGATGGCGGCTTGGGTGCCCATTATATACCCGAATTGGACCGCCCGCGAGTGCTTGTACTGGTATTTTTGCTCGTATTCTCGTTAGCATGGTTTGGGAAGGCTCTGCTTAACAAGTCATCCTTCCACATTTCTGAGATAAGGTAGCCGATTATAATCTTATAGAACACTGTCATGCATGTCCAATGCCTATTTCTGCCTCCTTCCACTGTCCCCCTTCCACTTCGCGGGACGAAATGATCTCAGCACTCTACCAATCATGCAGTTTTCTTAAGCCGTGGCTGACGGCTTCTCTCGTGGCGTGCCTTTCACTGGCGTAGCGGTTTGCGCCTCAGACTCCACCGCCGCAGTCAAGATGCCACATCCACACAGTATCCTCTACGAGATACTGCTTAGCTTTCTGCTAGCTTTCTGCTATATTCTGCGAGATTGACGGACAGCATGGCCCGTCGCCTTCCGCAGGTCACGAATATGTTATGATGTAGGTGGCGTATTCTAGTTTTAGACTCTATTGCATGGCCGCTTTAGCACTTGGATGTACCATTGGAGTATGTCGACGCGAGCGATGACTGCTTCAACGGGCGAGAGGACAATGATCGCCGCAAACTTTCCATTTTTTTCGCCAAGGCACCACGCGAGTAGGCAAAACAGAGGCGAGCTGAAACATTTGCCGGTCTTAAATTATTATATGAATATTCAGCTTCTCATTTGTGTGTATAAAAAGGCTAAGGTATGAGAATTTCAAGAGTAGAGATGCCTGTGGCGCGCGCCACAACCGGGTCGCGTTGAGTCTTGGATAATCACATGACCGCGATGCTCAAGCGCCAGCTTTGCGGGCGCCGGGCGGGCATGGCCGCCCTGCCGCGGGCTGCGATTCGCTCGAGCGTCGCACGGCTCCCTCTTCCTTCGCGATATTAAGTTCCTCCCAAAGTCTCGACATAACTGCTATCATTTTGGATCCCGCTTTCGCACATCGTTGGCAGCACTGCTTTCACCAATAACAAAGGCCCCGTCTGAAGGCCTACGAGACTCGAGATGCGCCTTCCGAGAACACACGGCGAATTGAACGTCCATCTTTAAAAGGCGAGGATCCACGATTCACTACATGACAAAGTGTGAAAGAAAATAATCTGACCAACTTCTTTGCATAAGCACAAGTTGCAATACCTTCTGAGATCTTTCCCGTACACCTCATTCTCGCGCCGGTCCTTCTCTCACTTCGCGATAGGCCAAGGATCATTCTTTCACCTCTGATATTGATAAGCATCGCCCACCGCGACCAGAAGTTGGTCCAAGGCGTCCCTTTCTGCTTCATCTTCCTCGCCCATTATCTTCCCCGCTGCGGCGTCGAAGACGTCACCGAACGCTCGGGTAGTTCTCAACCGGCCCACGCCCCTCTTCTGCTTCTCTGCAGCTGCATCGGAGATGCTGCTCGAGTCCCTCGCCGTCAATCCATGATGTACGCTTATGGATGGGTATGCCCGGTTATCTGATGTATTGTCGTCCTGCGATCGGGTGCGAGAAGATAAATGCAGGGGAGTGGCCGATGATAGCCTCGAGGGATGGTTATTGCCCCTGCATATTGGTGTCGGCGTCGCTTGTACGTGGCCCGGGCTCTTCTCGTGGCCAGAGTCCTCTGCGGTTGATGCGTGGCTTGCGCGTTTGGCTATCGTTTCCTTCATCGAGCCAAGCCAGTTGAGTGCGGCTGTTGCTTTCAGAGCCAGCCGGGCAGTCTTCGGCGCTGGCTGACCGGCCTGATGCTGGTTTGACCCGTCGCCTCGCTTATCCAAGCAGCGTAATGGCGTTGTGGCGCTCGGCCATGGGGTTCGTTGAAACGAGATGCGACTCGTCTACCGTTGAGCATGCGAAACCACTGGTTGTAAGTAGACAGCTCGAAGAATCCGGGATGACCTCACCGCTCCAGTATGCAGCCGCCCATTATCAATATATGTGTTCATCTCAGGTTCCGATCCACCGTCCATGGCCACAGAGACCACGTTGTTTGGCCCCAAAGGCGAGAACAGGATCGATTCAGGCTCTGGCCCGAATGGATCCACCAGCTCCTCGTCTTCGTCCTCCAGGTTGACCGGTGGCAACTAAACGGAGGTCAGCATATTCATTGCGACTCTCAGACACGGCTCACTGATAGCACTTTGTTGTCCTCCGCCATAGTAGTCATGATTCCATCTCCGCGTATGATCCCAGCTCCATCAAGCTGACTTAGTTTTATCTCCCCCAGGATTGGGGAGAGTAGCTCAGACGGGGAAGCGACTTGCTCGTCGCCTCGTCCATGGGTCTGCATAATACAAGGTAAGCACACAAATTGTCACGGACGTAGATGATTAGGCTGACTAACAGTTTGACCATTCGTGGCCGTGTGGGTTTGTGGGTTTACGTAGGGAGCGACGTTCATGAGTGTATTGTCGATACTTGGTAAACCGTCTATCCACGTATTTCTCGGTAGCCGTGTCGCAGTCCCGCCACCTTGAACGTTGCGCAAATTCACTGGTGCGGACGGAGGCTCGGGTTGCAAAGCACCGTTGCGGCGAATATATGGGGTGCTACCTGCGGTGGAGTTTTCGGGACGACGACGAGACAAGGATTGCATGGGTACACGTCGCTCCGCTTTTCGCCCTTCGCCTAGCGGTTGATGATACGCGTAGTGAGCTCCAGATACGTGGGCCATTGAGCGGAGTGTGAGATGTGGCAGGGGAAGAGTGGCGAGGTGAGAGGGAGAGCGCGACTTGAACATGGGCGCCTAGTTCACCGCGGCTTGTGTGCCCACAGTGCCCCCGGAATGGCCCGCTCGCGTGGGCCTATGCTGATGGATTTCTCCCGTGATGTCGCTAGCGTCGCTCTGTAAGCTACGGCCGTGTGTCATTGCTCCTCTTTTGTCGGACATGATATCTGATTACAAATTTGTAGAGTACGCTTGAGCCCATCCTACGAGTGATCATGCCTATCATAATATCTCTCTTTCGTACGTCGCTAGAGTTATCTGTTGTCGTGCAACATTGATTTCGCATCTGTGACTCATGGCTCGTCTCTGTCACGGTAATACCGGACAAGAGATCAAAAAGACTAAAAAGGGACAGTCACGTGGAACGTGCTGCCCTGATCCCCCTGATCCCAAAGGTATCCCCCTGAACCCTATGTGGCGCAAGAGCCTGTTGACTTACTGGTCAATGTTGGCAGACGCAGGAAAGGGTGAGAGATATATGAAGGAGCTGGTGAGCTCAGTGAGTGCTACAGGTAGTAGACGAGGAGAAACAATCTGAGGTTTCGTCCCCTACATGGCTGGTCTTATATACACATACAGCAGGCTATCTTACCTAAGCTACCTATC